GAGATGCAAAATCATGAGACGATGTTTTACCATAAGATACTTTACAAATTACATTGGTGGAATTCTTGAGAGATCCAAATACCCCTGCAGAGAAACTCAATCACCTACTAAATGGCTCTTTACTACCAAAGATATCAAAAAACTCAACAGTTGAAAATTCAGGCTACGTCAGTGCAAATTAGAAATATGACTTCTTTATGAAGAGACAATCAACCACATCAGGGACTGAAGGTAACTCCCAAGAACAGCTGCAAATACTTCAGATCCTCATGTCCACACATTAGACTGCCTTTAATACAGAAGATCTATTTAGTCACGTATCTCTGAAAGACAGACTTTTACCAAATCTAGGTTATTGCTCTTGGATAACTAACTCAATATAACCAATACATGAATCAAGTTAGACTGTCTAAAGATCCCTTATGTTCTTAAAATCTGCTACTTCACTTTTGTCTGAATCCACAAAAATAAACTAACCATTAAGTACAGATTTTTTGCAACCACCCACAGCCTGATCCAAAATAAGAAGGGAAATACTTTGCTAAATCAGTAAGTTCTTTCACATCTATACATGCTTCTAAGATGAAATATTTGGGTACTACTCCTTCCAATACTCAAATCAGAAGAGACAGCCCAAAACAGGTTTGTAAATTAAACAGTGTCATCAACAATGGAAAAAAAATTGTGAGCAAGACATCTTAGCATTTTCACTACTACTGCAAGAATTTTCTTAGCATTGATCCATTTAAGAATTTGAACTAGGACTGCAACCCTCAGAGACTCAAGCAAAAACTGTTATCTCGTTGATTTTTTTAATTTCAAGTTTCTTTGTGCTCATTTTGTCAAATGCTCCCAATATATGAACACTGACACAGATGCATATTCCTGAGATTAGCCAAACTGAGCAAAAATTAACTTGATTATTTTAAACAGTAACACTGCAGATTCATTTTTATCATTTCATAAGCTGTATAATGCATTGAACCTTTGAGCTGTAAACTCTTGGTTGCCACCTTTTGGGTTTCCATCCAGGACAAGGTAAACTCATACCACAAATGCAAGACACTACGAGGCAGGAGAAGTTTCAGGAGGAAAAGAAAGAGGGAACCTTAAGACAACTAGCAAGAGTAAGAGCCTAAGCTTCTCCACAGCTGCCTCAGTCCTGACAGAGTTAAGAATCCCTCTTAGCAGCAGCAGCAAAGTGAATTGCCCACCCACCACATATAACAACTAACAACAAAGAAAAACTTCCCAACTGTTTTGATGGACATACCACTGTGAGCCAAGAAAACTGAGTAGCACAGAATCAGTCTGTTCTGCTCTGTCAGCACTTGAGATAAACACCCACTCAGGAAGAGTGTCCTGAAACCTGAGCAGGATATGCATACTTGTCCTGTAACACATGTACAGTCCCTGGGTACTTAAAGACCATATTTTTATAAGGGTATTTTACCAGTAACATCCTTTCACTGTACAGATCTTTTCATCACTATTCCAAAGTATCCCAAAAAACAGCCTACAATGGAATGGGAAATTCTTGCAATACTTCCATGTATGGGCAATTTGGGGTGGGCAAAGTGATGCATTCACTCAGAAATGTCTTTTAGCTGGCTGAAGGTATAGTTATTATTATGTATTTCTGAGGGGGGTTAGGCACATGAGGGGGATGAGATGAAGAAAGAGCTAGAACAGCTTACAGAAAACACTCAGGAAAAGGGAAAACAATGGGAAATCAGGAAAAACATTTGTTTTCCTGTACAACTGGAATTTGAAATGAAAACTCCACTTCAAAACTTTAAAATATTACCATAGATTTAAAAAAAACTGTAAAAGTTAGATGGTCTGAAGAGAAAATGTTTCATATTAGGTTGATGTAGATTGTTTACCTTAGTTTTCAGCATTTAGTCAAGTTAGATGCATTTCAAAATCCCCCAAACCCAAGCCATTCTTATGTCCCAAGGATAACCCTCAGAGAACAGTGGCAGTCTTACATTAAGTTCTACAATTCCCATTGCTCTTACATGAGAATGAGAAAGTACACAGCTGAATAAGGCACACACATATCAATGTATCCTTCTTAACATCAGCTTGATTTCTCTTTTGCACCACTCACAGTTCTTTATTTTCTTTAGAAAGAAAATGTTCTTTATTTTAGATCAGAATATTTAGGGGGCCATACCCAAGTTATTGTTCCATTATACTGGACATAACACATTAGTAAAGGTCCCCGACCACAGCTTCCACACACTATGGCAATACAAACAGTAAGCAAAATATTTCCTTTCAACTAACTGGCAGAGACTTCTAGAAGTACTTATGCCCACAGTAGTCATGCCAGTGCAGCAGAGAAACAGTAGGTGTGGAAATTATATACCTGCATTTAATTTCAGTTAGGCACAGCATAAAAATGGGTTTCAGGGCGGAGACAAAAACAAACTTTGCTGCTTGCTGAAGAGAATCCATTCCATTTATCCAAGCCTACAATCACTACGCATGTGCAAATAAAAAAGGACATTACATCATTGAATGACTGACTATGCCACAGAATGACTGTTCTTGTAATATATGAAATATATACAGTAATATGTAAACATAGAGAGAGATAGCTGCTTGTGAGTATGGTCACATCCTCACACTGGAGACTTACATAATTAAAGTGTGTAAAGCAAGAAAAACATCTGATTTTATTTTGTATTTTAGCTTATCACCTGAAAGCAAGTTATCAAGGTTAAACATTGCATGGCTTATTCTCTGAAGTGCTATGAGATATATTGAGTACAATTAATTGCTTTTATCTATAATGAGAATACTTACCTTAACATAAATTGACATAACTGACTGCCTCACTCCTTGAAAGACCCTTGTTTTATTTTTTCAAATTAAGCTCAAGATACAAGAAGCAAAAATAGCTCTACCAAAAAGACCAATCCCACTACCAAATACCAAGTTAATATAAAAATGCCAAATATTAAAACCACTACAATCACAGCTGCATGTTTTATCACCACAGTCAAGCCACAGATTAAATATGACACAGAAAGAACTACTTGCTGGATGTATATTTCCATTTATAAATATCTTTTCTTAGATTTACAAGGGTCAAGTGCAAGCATTGCAGGAGATTCCTAGGTGAACTTTATCTGCAATTTGATCCTTGCATGGCATGCTGTCTAAGCATTACACTGTACTATAATTTAATACTGGACATACACTTCAGCAGTTACAAATGATGCACTATTTAAAAGCATATAACTGTGACCCAGAAATGTACAAAGGCATTCAAAATACCATTTTATTTTGGACTGGGGAGATGAAAGGTCAAATTGGGATAGGGGTCTCTAAAAACATAAAGAAGTGGCTCATCACTAAAGGATTAAAAAAATGGCCATTGCTATTTTAAAAAAATGTTGTATAGGTTCGATAAACAGTGATGCTATTTTAAGCCTAAGACTATGAAAGTGTATAGGGGAAAAAACCCCATACCTTAATGTTTTACTATCATGCTAACCCTAAAAAACTAGAGGGGAAAAAAATCCATACCTTAATGTTTTACTGTCATGCTAACCCTTTCCAACCTACCTAAAGGATACTATTTAATGATGCTAGCAGAGAAAACAGCAGGACGGCTCAGTAAAAGACAGTCTCACATCATGTGTTTCATTTCAAGCTGGGGCTTTGGTTTGCTCCTCCTCTTTCTTTTCTTCAATAAACATGAGGGGTTATGCAACCCTCTGTAAAACCAAAAAAAAAATCGTCCCCTCCCAAACCTGCCCTGTGTAGAGCCTGCAAAACATTAACAGGGAAACGGGTTGTCAGCAGCATCTCCTACATGATTCGAAGCTGTCAGTGTTTAAGATGCTATTCACATGTGCATTCGGCACCTTGTAGCATACATCCAACTTCCCCTTGGAATAATTTCACCAATGTACAAGAGCTTTTACCCAGGACTGGAGAAATATTTGCAACTGAATGTGATCTGGCAGAGGAGAGGCTGTATTTATTTTCAAACAAGCTAGCCGAATTTACAGATAAAAACACAGGATTTTGTCTTGTCCTCGTTTTCCACCCCTGAGTACATGGCTGTGTACCTATGGGCATTACCCCGCAGGCGCTAAATGGTCTCCCACACCTGATGCTGGTTTTGTGGAGGACGCTATACAGCAGCGACTCTTGAAGACGAAGCCCCTCCAGCTACCACTTGGGGATTTCAAGGAAAAAAAAAAATAAAGAAAGAAAAGAAACGGCAAATAGTCTCTCCGCATCGGTCTCCATAAAAGGGGGCCGGTGCTTCTAAACGAGCTCATGAAGCAGCAGCAGCATCGCCGTCGGTCGAAGCTTTGTTGTTGACTGCGGAGCATTTGGCGTGTGCGCGCAAGGTGGCTCCTTCCCGGCTTCTCCGGGAGCCGCCCGCGGGCGCAGCGCGGGGCTCGCCGGCTGCCCGCAGCCAGCCTCCAGCATCGCCCAGCCACGGACCTGCTGCCGCCGGGAGCCGGGAAGCCGCCCGGGTTCCACGCTGGCTGCGGCCGCGCGTACCTCCTCGATGGCGATCGGGGGATGCGGCTGGCGGAGCCCATCCCCATGGCAGGGAAAGGCGCGCACCTCCTCGCCAAGCCCCGCTCCCCGCCAGCTCCTGGTCCCCGGTTCCTGGAGGGGAGCGCAGAACAATCGCGGGGACAGCACGGAGGTGAATCCCAAGGAGGGACGCGGCGCCGCCGCCCGCAGCCCCCCGCGGGCGTTACATAACGACGGCGGCGGCCGCGCCGGGTTGGGCTCGGGAGCCCCTCCGGTGGGGGCTGGCACCGGGAGGGAGGCACCGGAGCCGCCAGACCCCCGGCAGTGCCTCCACCGCCCCCTCCCTCGCGCTATCAGCAGCCGAGCTGCGATCGATTAGCGACGCGATGGGAAAGAGGGAGTGGGCACGGCACACGACACGCACCCCACCCCCCCACCCCCGGCGGAGCGGTGCTCGGCCAGCCCAGGAGCGGCACCCGCACACTCACCGCCGGCTGCGGAGGGCTGCAGGTCTGGCGGCGCTGGCCGGGCTCCGTGCGGCGCGCTTGGCGGCAGCCGCGGGTGTCCGCAGCCGGCGCGGCCGTTGCAGCGGCACCGCCCCCCCCGCGCGGGCATTGGCGGGCGCGCGGCACCGCCCGCCCGCCGCGAGCGCCCATAGGCGGCGCGCGCCGGCCGGCCGGGGCCGCGCCCGGCCTCGCGGGGCGGCTGAGGGACTGCGCGGCCGGCGCTGCCTTACATGGCCCGCTGGCGCGGCCGCGCTCCCGCCCGCCCCGTTTTCCCCGTTATTCCTGCTATCCCCGTTTGCCCCGTCCCCCGAAACGCGCTGGCAGGTGCGCTGCGTCGGGCGGAGCCTCGCCCTGTTCGCGCATCCTGTGCCTCCCGCTGCTGATGCACCCAGAGGTGCCAATGTCCTCTGTGTTCTGCCGCGCCCTGGCAGGTTTGGTTCTGGGCGGCCGCTCGGCTGTGCTTGGAGCTGGGATCGTCGATGTAAATGAACACCGTGTGAAAGACTGGGCTGTGTGGTGCAGCGGGCGTTCAGTAAAACACCTTCCCTCAGCTTGCCTCTCGCCTGGGAGCAGCCCGAGGCCTCACAGCGGAGAGGCGCAGCCAGAAACCTACTCTAGAGCAACCCCATCCGAAACCCTGGAGCACAGACACCGTCCAAGGAGTCAGCAGGAATCTAGTCAGCCGTTATGCACCCTCATCTGTGAATTTATAACCAGAGTCCAATGACCCTGCAGAGCATCCTTGGTGGATTTTAACTTGATTTCTGCTGTGCTGGAATGAAGTTAAAACAATCTACCCACAGTTCTGAGGGAGGACAGCAAAATGCTAATGTGCAATGGATTCTCAATTTTTCAAATGCAGGAGATACAGATGGCTAATTTTTTGATTGGTTATATACCTATGCTTGCCTCAGGATACAGAATAGTTTACAAACTATTGTAAAATTAGCTTATAAACTCTGATTTCAGTAACTCAAGGCAATTATTGAAATGACCGAGAATGTCATAAATTGACTTGAAAGGACCCTTCATGTTAGGGTTGAGTTTGGCTGTAGTATGAGTGAAGGTTTTGTGGTAGTGTAGGGCAAATGAAATTATGTTCTCTCATAAGAGCAAAATCAATGTCTGCAAATCAACCTCCAAGTCCTTCTCCCCAGGGCTGCTCAAAATCCCTTCATCCCCTAGCCTGTATTGGTATTCAGTAGTGAAACTAAACGCATTCTTGGTAGGCACAGACATACAAACTCATTTCTGCGTGCATACACCCATGGACAGCTACACAGATCAATACAGCCAGAAACACTCAGCACTCACACAAGCACGAACAGCATCAATGGCCTCATCTTGCTGCCCTGTGGCTAATTAGGATGAAAGTGTATTATTAGGAAATATATGCTATGTATAATGTGGATTCCTCCAGTAGCTGACCTTAGATACTCAGTCTACCCCTGGATCCACCATGTGCCCCACTGTTGTACCCTGGACATACGAGCTCCTAAGACTTGCAGTCCCACTGTAGTTGCTCTTCACTCGTCACCCACAGACACACACCATGATCTGCTGAAAGCTGGACCTCTGATCTCTGATCAGCTGCTGTACCTTCACAAATGAGCACCTCTCCAAGGGCTGGTGCAGCCCTCCTCACTCACATGCACCACAGTTCTCTCAGTAGCTGGGCTTAGACATGCCATCCACCCAGTAACTGGCTGTGGATCCCAGGTCACCCAGTTACTGGCATCTGGACACACTATTCTCCACACCCCACAGTCCCACTCCAGCTGCTGTACAGATTTCCTTGCATGCAGCAGCACATAAACATGCACACTGCTGATCTCTCCTGAGCAAACACCACCCAGTTTCTTAGACAGGCCCTCCTTCCAGCCTGGATCACTGTTGTCCCCAGCTTCTTCCCACACATGTACACACACACACAGAGACACATGCAGTCTCTCAGCTGACCTACAGATTTTACATCCTCTCTATCAGTTGGCCTGGACTTCTTGGTCCCTTTGGAAGTTACCTTCTCCAATTGCCTCACTTCTAGAGACATACTTCCTTCCCAAGCCTCTTAATCTCTTCTCCACCTAGTTTGGCTCGATATTTGCACTCTCACTTGGTCCAATTGCTTGCACCAGACACATATAATCCCTTATCTGCAGTGGAGTTATTGGTGCTTGTTTTTACTCGCTCCAGTCTCTTCAGTTGATGACTCTGCTGATTTGCAAGCCCTATAATCCCTTGTCTGATTTCAGTTGCTGACTCTTAGACATCCATACAATCACATCCACACAGAACAGAGTCCACTTATTTAGGATAATAGCTAGAAATGGAATTTAGGAAGAATGCAGAACAACGGGTGATCATTGGGTGAGGGTCATGGCCAGACAAGCATACTGCCCAGCAACCTGTTTACACATGGGCAACTGCTTTTGTCCTCCTAGCCCTCTATGACCCATTTTCTCCAAGCCAAGATATGCCCTCCCTTCCTGTCTTTAGTTTTGTCCCCTACACCAGCCAAAAGATATCTTGTGTAATCCTAAGATTCCCTGAATCTTAGGAGTCAGGGGAGGTTCAGACTTGATACTTGGAAACATTTCTTTACCAAGAGGATGATCATTCCCTGGAACAGGTCTTCTGTGGAGGTTACTGATGCCCTGTGCTGTCAGTGTGTGAGGCATTTGGAAAATGTCCCTAAAAACAGCTTTAACTTTGAATCAGCCCTGTCACAATCAGGCAGTTGGACTTGATGAACTTCTATTCTATTCTATTCTATTCTATTCTATTCTATTCTATTCTATTCTATTCTATTCTATTCCTTTGCATCCACAGTGTGTGTTATACCCTCTAGATAGTGTTGCCTTTTGCCCAACCTGGAAATGAAACTCGAGATAATTTTAGTAAGGAGGTATTATAAAAGGGGAAATTTATTTGAAGGCCTTCAGAGGCATCTATGGAAAGATGTCCACAAAAGCCCACCCACCCTCTCCCAGGGGTAAGTACATTTTTATAGGTTAGTATAATGGATAAAAAACACCAATTAGGAGGACAAGTGGTGATGCAATTCCCCCCCCCCCCCCCCCCCCCAAGGCCAAGCCCCTTCTCTGGAGCCCCCCTTCAGCACTAATTGTACTTTGTCCATGAAATATATCTGGAAGAGTGGTTCTGACCCTTGGTTCCCAGGAAGAACCAAGATAGCATGGATCCTTGTACCCCTCAGGGCTTGGAGCTCTGGAAGTTGTTTTGTCTTTCTGCTTAGGGAAAAGCCATGGAAAATCACTGGGAAAGCTAGGTCCTAATACAATAGGTGGCATAGTTACAAATATATGTGTGAAGAATACAGACAACATGTAAAATAAAAAAAGGCAAAACTCAAATGCCATCAATTGTATCCCTGACTTCAACCCCTAAGTTTGACTGGAAGGCCTATCCAGACTCATCTGGTGTGTTTCAGACCTGGATGATGACCATCAGTTCTCTTTTGTGACACTCCTGAGATTGGGACAAGGAATCTTTTTTCTGAGCTCCCCATAAAGATGAAGGTTCCTCTCTTTGATATTGTTCTTCTGTGCCAAGTGTGGACATGAGCTTTTTATCAAATAACCTACCAACACTTAATTCTGGTCACACTTTGAAGACCCTATATTCTCAGATGGAGAAGATTTTAGAGATTTAATTTAGCAATTTAATTTAATGGAATTTAGTAATTTAGTTCCTGGTCCTGTAGTCATACAATATATGTGGCTATTGAAATGCTATTGAAAATGTGGCATCATGAAGTTTTGGCAAAGACAAATGAGTCACAGAAATAAATCAGTGATACCTCAGGGCATATATGTGATGCCAACCTAATCCACACTGTCCTCCTTTCCACCCTTCAGTTCACAGTCTACCAAGTAGCTCTCTCTCGAGTGGCCAGGATAGAGATGAGACAAAATGTTGGAGCCTTTGTTTCATTCTTTCAACTGGTGTTTGTTATTCAAGATGCTTGTCTTTTACACCTCCCAAACTATGTTTTAGAAAATTCAAGTATAAAATCATAAAAGCCCATTTTTGGATTATCCATATTTGGGTTACATGCCAAGGTTTTGGTAGCAAGCAGGCTACAGGGGTGGCTTCTGTGAGAAGATACCAGAAGCTGCCCCTGTGCCAGAAGGAGTCAGCTCCAGCTGGCACTGATGGACCCGCTGCTGGCCAAAGCTGAGCTACTGGTGGCAGCACACAGTGACAGTGTATTTAACAAGGGGGAAAAAGTGTTGCAGAACAGCAGCCAATGGGTGAGAGAATGGTACAGACAACTCTTCAGACCCTAAGGTCTGGAGGGGAAGAAGGAAGAGGAGGAGGTGCTCCAGGCACTGGAGGAGAGATTCTCTTGCAGCCTGTGGTGCAGCCCCTGGTAAGGCAGCTGTGCCCCTGCAGCCTACGGAGCAGACATTCACCGTGCAGCCTGTGGAGGATCCTATGTCCAAGCAGGTGGATGCTCCCTGAAGGAACCTGTGAACCAAAGAAGAAAAAGCCCATCCTTGAGATGGCCTCTGACAGCACCTGTGACCCCATGAAGAGGAGCTCATGATGAAGCAGGTTTTCTGGCAGGACCTGTGACTCCATCTGGGAACCCACACTGCAGCAGTCTGTTCCTGAAGGACTGCACCCTGTGGAAAAGACCCACACTGGAGCAGTTAATGAACAACTGCAGCCCATGGGAAGGATCTGTGTTGTATAATTTTGTGAAAGACTGTCTCCCATGGGAGGCACCCCATGCTGGGGGAAGAGCATGAGGAGGAAGAGAGAAAGCATTAATAACTGACCTGAACCCCTATTCTCCATCCACTGTTCAGGAGGAGGAAGTAAAGAAGTCAAGAGTGAAGTTGAAGTAAGGACCAGTGGGAGGAATGTGTTTTAAGATTTTGTTTTTATTTCATATTGTCCTACTTTTGATTTGCAATAAATTAAATTAATTTACCCGCACTGAGTCTGTTTGGCCCAAGACAGTTATTACTGAGTCATATCCTTACCCTTATCTTGAACCACAAGCCTTCTGC